ATCCTCATTTTATCCAGATAATTTTCTGTACTCTTGCTTCTGCAAATGCGTCCAAATAATTGCTTTAAGCGCCTGTTTTTCGCGCAAAAACCTGTTGTATTATTTTGTCCTGGCTTATCCCTACACTTTGCTGTCTTATAGCAGCCGTACGCTGAGCGATCCAAACATTCAGATCCCCATTTAATTACCAGTTTTCGGATGTTTATGTGAATAGTAAAGAAGTAAATTTGAATGCACAAGAAACAATTAAAGAATATGAAAAATTATGAATTCTATCAATCTTCAGTGAGCGACTTCGGCCATCTGCAGCTGTAGTAATAAGATGATAAGCGCAGCACACATGTTGTAGGAATTTATATTCACAATTCAATCGCTCGATCAAATTCATAATTGATGCCTAGGCATATAATCAAGATTGTTATTTTTCCTGACCTGATACCATGGCAGTGAGTTAAATTAGCAGTTTATTGGTAACACATTCATATTCTGAAGAACGGTTCGTGCCGCATTGTTTTATGAGAAAGCTATTTGGCTTTAAAAAAATTAATGGTGCAATTTTACAGTCTCTTATATAGAGTTATGTGAAGGACCAAACGGCTAATAAGCATATTCAGGATTCGACAGCACCGGAGTACAATAGTCGGTTTCCAAGTTCTGTTTCAGAAACAGCACTATTCTAAGTAAGCATATTTCCCCTGGAGATGACGAAGTCAGAAACCTATCAGCATCTCTAAGATGCTTAAAAATAATCCTCATCCTACTTCTCTCCTATATTCACTTCACTTTCTCACTTTCTTTGTTTCTTTTCATTACTCTATTCTCATGCTATTGGACAAGTGCTCACATATATATGGCAAATGGTAGGCTGTACTGATGATTTTCACTCCTACTCACACACTGTGCTCCGTCCATGTTTACGGCTAAGGGATGAAACATAGACTGCATACAAATATGTCATCTTGCGTATGATACCTAGCCAAATACCTTATTTCCTATTCTACTATTTCAAGTGAAAGGTCGCGCAGCTACTTTGATTTTCTGTAGCCTCAACACAGGCATACTACCTTTGGAGCAGGCGAATTTTTCACGGAGCTGTGACCGAAGTTTCATCTTCTGATATTCAGCCTGATGAAGGTGATCCCGCTTTTCAAGTTTTCTTCCTGCATCTTTCCAGTCAGAAACACCAGATGTATCATGCCCTGACAAAAATCACATGGTCCTTCAGCTCTTCTCCAGATTCTCCTCCATATCAGCAGACAGCCGTGGGATGCGCGTTAGAATTTTATATATACGTGCTCAGGAAAATGAAAGCATTCGCAGTTCAATTCACGGTGCTCGCTGGGAAGGATGCTGCTGACCGGTCCCCAGAACAAGTCTTTTTGCAGCAAATTGCTGGTAGAAGCAGTTCTATAGCTGTGCTGAGAGCACTGGCCAATCACTTCTTCAAAGTTGCGCCGCAGGAGTGTCCACTGAATGGACCTTTACATTTGCTGTGCTGAAGCAAACACGTTGGATTGTCCATCTTCTGGAATTTTCAAGTGTTTCTGGTTTTCTGGATTGTTACTATTCACACTGCTCACCTGCTATTGCGGTGTGCACTTCGTAAGACATTCTCTTGTCACCTGATGTGAGACAAACTGTTGCTTGACCACACGTTAACTATTTAGGGTTAAATAAAAAATATGAGAAAAACGACGAAAAACATGTAAGGAATTATTGAAGTAGGTAAGAAAGAAGGGGTTTGAGATAAGAGAGATAGCAAAGTGAAGAAGAGTACGACCAGGCCCATTGGATTTTCAGCAGCAAAGACTTACTGCTTGGTTGCAGTTGAGTACTTCAATATTGAAAGTACGCTCTGTTCTATCTGTGTTTACAGCTATGGGTTGGAACAAAGATTGCTCTCGAATATGTTCATCGCTACATAATTCTAATCTTAATATTTTAACCATATAAACAGTACAAGTGAAAATACTCAGATGGCTGTAGTGGGGTCAGCTGCCACAATGGAAATTTGAAAATTTTTAAACTTTTGGACAAACTGAAGTGAATGGTGGCGGTCAGCAGTGGCATCATTGATGTGCCCCTTTTGTGTCACAGCATATTTGCATGATCGCGGAAGGTCAATTCATCATCTGCAACCAATTCAGTTTTATTTCCCTTGCCTTTGCAATGCCGTTTTACTATACTTTCCTGTTCCTGTGCTACACGGAAATCATGCAGTTGCGATCTCTCTTCACCGCTATCGCAAACATCTCTTTGCTCTCTTTAAAAATTTTCATTTGCGCAAATTTATGCTTTACGTGTAAAATCGCTCCTCATCGATGAGAAAAAAGTGCCCACCCTTCGGTAACTGACCATTCCACTACTGAGAAATGATGAGAAAGTAGAGTTCAATTTGTTCGTTATATTTTTGTACTCACTGTATTCTTGTAAAATTCCAGTATATGAAAAAATATTTACACGGCGAAAGGTATTTTTTCGAAACTGTTCATCTGCAAACAGCAGGAAATGTGCTTTTTTCTCACAAAAAACGCCTTTTTAGAAAAAACCCCCGCTTTGATACTAAATGAATACAGACAGTGTCTTTTTTCCTATTACTTTTAGAATTTATTTTCAAAATCTCCGCCAGTGAGATGCTGTGAGCACCTGTTTCTGATTTAGCTATAGTTTTCAAAAAACAGCGGCTACGAAGAATCTGTAGGTCATTTTTACTAAGAGTTGTCTTTATTTTAAACTAAGGTGAAGGCGAGTGGACTTCGTAATAAACTAAGCACATCTGAATTTAAGAAGTGGATTTTTACACTTAAAATTCGTTATTTTTCTTTTAGCAAAAACAATTATTTTTTGGAATTACGTTCCTACATATGGTTCAACATACTGCTTTCCTAAAAAGTGCCGTTTGAGTCTCTTATGTGTACTTCTAGAAAAATTTATTTTTTTTTTTTATTTTTTCTTTTTAACAGAAACAAAAAAGTGATCATGATCCGACCAGGAAGTGAAATGTAGGGATTAGACCCTCAGAACAGTCACTGAGACTGAAGTCACTCATTTATTCCACAGTTGCAGATGTGTCGTTCTTTTTCGTTGAGCCTAGAACTTAATAAGCAGGTCAATAGGGGTCACCATTAGAATCGAGGATAACACTTAATAATTGGGGAAAGGGGAAAAATAATATGCGTTTGACAAGATAATTTTTCCAACCGTACACATTGTTTATGAGGTAAATTCTTCGAGGAATGTTTTGAAAGTTGACTTTTTTCAACCCAATTTGCAGATTAAATTTTTCTAGAAGTACAGTAGGGGCCATATGTGTATATGAGACTCAAACGGCAATTTTAGGAAAGCACCATGTTGAGCCATGTGTAAGAACATAATTCGAATATTTCTTTTGACACCTCACGGCGGCTGCACTTCACAGCGTCATTCTCTAGTGTTATGCAACTAGGAGCTTTTCCTGTTACTTTGGCCGTTACTCATTACCTGCTGGTCAGTCAATTAGCGATTCTGAAGTTCGTTTGAAGAATAAGTACATGTAAGAAAAAAAAATTCAACATATATCTACTGAGAACAATAAAATTCAACTTGCATCTCTTGAGGAAAAAAAGCACCTTTTTTCTTCTCTTCCCACTTGTTGTAATAGGTGAGAAAATAAAGTTATGCTTTTAAGCAAACTGCAGCCAAGTTTGGGGATCTATTCTTCACAATACCAGAAAAAAGAAACGATTGCTGTGATTGTAATTCGCAACGTATCGACAGTTTGTTGGGGACATCGGCAAAGATTGATTTGCTTTCAGTTCCATGTCGATACCTTCACCACGACCAAACTTGGATGAATATGCACAGATCGAGCGCCTACGAGATGCACTGACTGAACAACTGCCAGAGGGCATTCCTGCTGACCTCAACACCGATCTCAATTTGCTCCGATGGATTCGTGGCTACAAAGCCAATTTCGGCAAGATTACTGAGGTTTGTCTCTTGAGGATCGCTTCGTTGCATCGTTGCGTCACTGATACTTTCATTTTTACATGGGGTTTTTTTTTTCAAATTTTTTGCCGCAGAAAATTAGCTACATGCAGAATGCTACGATAGAGCCGAGAGTGACAAAGAGGGGCGGAAGATAAGATTGTTGAAGGAGTGGAAGAACTAAGAAAAAGATGGGTTAAAACGTTCCGGTACACTGAACCGTAAAAGTCTCAATCCTAAATCTTGCCTTAAGTTTTCACTAAAAGAATCAGACTCCTTCTAGCGAAAGTGCTGATAGTTTTTTAACTAACAACAATTCATCCACAGTATCAGTCTGTCAGTGATTTCTCATTCCCAAAAACTGTACGTGGATGCACAGAGCAAACTGAATCCCAAAACATCTTATTAGCTGAATTGCACAATTCATTCTCGAAATAGCATGTGAAGTTTGAGCGTGCTAGCGAGACCGCATTATTAACTTATTTTCAACCGAAACACTGCAAGCAAGTTATAGATTATTATATTTGCAGAACTTTTGTACGTATGTGGCATCTCGGAGGGCAGCGGGTTTCGACATCGCGAATCTACCGGAAAAATTTTTCGACTTACCGCACATCAAACCTTTCCTGCCCTTTATTGCTTCCACCCGACTAGACGACCGAGTCTGGCACGAAACACGCAATGCATTTCTGTTCGTCGAACGCGCATGGTGTCAACCAAAGCAGGTAAAATTTTTGTTGTATTGCTAGAGAAATTTACTTTTTTAGATTCCTATTTACTCGTATGAAGCAAAAGTGAGAACCAGCTAGAGCTAAACAGTTCAGCAGTGTCTGATATAACTGCACCCTCTTCGTCTTTATTACTCACAACATTGTAACCGTAGTACTGACGAGGTCCAGCTGTGGTACTGAAAAGAAATGTGTACGACTTGCTGAGGGATGAAACACAGACTGCATTCTAACATGTCTTTTTACTTAGGACACTTAATTCAGTCCCTTTTATTCTACTGTTTCCTATTCCTACTTACTCCAACTAACCTCGCTTTCTCATCCTTCATTCAGCCCATCATCCAATTCAAATTACACAGATGCAAAAAGACTAAAAAGGAAAATTGGCTTGATGGTCATTATAACTATAAGTGGAAGACCGTGAGAGTAGTAAAGCCGCAACATGGTCACAACAAGAAATCAGTGTAATAGGAACAAGTGGGATCCATTCCTACTGGAAGTGAAACCATTCAAGAGGACTTTCCAGGATCTTAGTTCCTTCGCCGGCAATATCCGAACGACTCAGCTTCGTCGCCTAACTTTTTTATGTTTCTGCTCAAAATAGGTGTCAGAACTGCTCACAGCACACTGAATTTTATTTCTTCAGCTCCTGACTTTTGCAAAACGCCTAACATGTACTCGTGCAATAGAAGTTTCCAAATTTTTGTAGGGTCTCGCTTTGCAAGCTCGAAAAGCGAGGGTTAGTTGTCCAAAACTTCCAGTACTGAGAATTTACCACAACGGCTACAGTTGCACCTAATATCGTACTGTACAAAATGAAACAATCATGCAAATTATATGTGAGTAAATTAGCGCCCGTTTATTGTTTCCAGCGTTCGTGGGAGAGATATTATCCGTCTTACAATTCACTTTTTGAGCTACCCAAGCATCCGAATCAGATTTTTTTTTAAATTTTATGTGATAGCACGGCTTAAAAGGGTTCTGCCCCAATTCAGCACATTCTTGTCACACTAATCTGACTTGTCGAAC